GATATATGTCACTAACTCAAGTTATCAGTTCATTCAATTGATGCAAAAGTAACTTATTAGTTAGTTTAGAAGGACTGGACATTATTGTATTTCTACAATATACAACTATATCTTCCCCAACAAAACAAATTCATATCCATAGACATTCTCCAGATGTAATTTTTTAAATATTATAATCACCCCCAACAGAAGACCCCAAAAGACAGTAAATCTGGGAGAAAAAAACCATTATCAAGTTGTATCACATCTCATACATTGCCCTTGATCAATAATAATCAGCCTTCCAATGCATATGAAGGAACCTTGAATAAATTAGCTAATTGTTAGTAAGATTAATATATAATATAGAATAAGAGCAACTTTAATCACAATAACTTGATCATTCACAATATAATATTGAGACTGGCCAGCAGTACAGTGGGTACATCAGGTCAAGGACAACATCCTGATGAACTTGTGAGAAAGAATATTGGATGTTGTGCATGTAAAGTACAGAACAGAGGATTAGAAACATATTCTGCGAGCTTATTGCAAGCACAAATCCTTTATTCAATTTGGCTTAGAAGTAAATTCCCCAGACAACATACATTTAAAAACAGCTTGAGCAATAGAAAAGAAGCAAATGAAAATAAATGCATGCCTTCTTATACCTCAAACATGTTTTCATCTGGAAAACAAGATCCTTCATGTTGAAGGCTACGAGAAAGATCACAATGAAGAATCCACAGCTTTCCTTCCTGTAGTGTTTAGAATTTAGAAGAAATTTATAGAGTACAAGATCAAACTAGAGATTCTTGATACAATTTTGTTGTTTACCTTGGTTCCATATACAAGTCCACCCTCTGCTGAACGATGGAAGCAAGTAACATTGACCTCATCCTCTACTGAAGGATAGAACCAGAATGCAATATTAATACATAACCCATTAAGTTTTGATCCCACGACAGTGATAATAATTGTCTTTATAGAAGACCAATGATTTCTTCATTCCAATTACTCGATTGGTTCCAGGAGCTACAATTTGGTTGTCTTGGCCAGTGGCTTTCCAGTAACCACAGCTAGCACTGAAACGCCTGTAATTATTCATTACATTCCTGTTTTCTTGCTGAAGAAATATCTCTTCTCCTTCAAATCACCTTAAATACATAGAGGGATTTGTACAATGAATGAAAAATATGGGGAAGACGTGTGTAATGGGGAAGCTGAACCCAATGGGAAGTTTAATTTCTTTACCTCCATTTCCATCTCCCATACCAACGTTTGTCTATAGGGGAACTGAAACTGAACCTTGAACTGAAATTAGGTTGATAGAGCATAAATTGGGGGAGACCCATAGCTGGGCTAGGTACGCCAGGTGAACGCGAACCGAGCCCAGGTGGTGTGCTATTGTAGGCACCCAAAAATAGTCATTAAACCTCTAAAACTAATGTAGTAATGGAAGTAAGGGTCAATCCCACGAAAAATGTGTAATTCAACAATTTATGCTTCGTATGACGATTTGGGGGTTTTGTTTATAACGAAATCAATCTTATAACAAATAACAATGTAAATTAACGAGTTGTATTAAAT